TGGCCACTTTGGAGGCACTCGACAACAATTTGTATGTACTTTAGAGGGACGGGCTTTCACCTCGTGAGACTGGCCTGCATGCATACGAAGCCCACAGAGAAGATGGGAATAGCGTAGAACCACGATTGGCACCCGACGGCGGCACGGTAAAGTGTGTATTGACGACCTTGGAGCTGGGGTCAAAATCCAGGCCGAAATGGCGTGATCAAGTCGAAAACACTTCACTCGCAGTCTCAACCTCGTCCTTATGTGCCCCGTTCGTCAGAATATCACGCGACTGACCGCTCGGTCCTTACAAACAAGTACATAGCGAGAGAGCGAGAGATTCGGGTGCGTCAACACTCATTACAACGCATGATTTTTTTCAACCGCCGGAGAACAAAGTGGCCGCAATACGTTTAATGGCTTGAGGACATGCGGAAAAAGCACAGACCCGGGGAATTACTAGCAGAGCAAATCAACAAAACTTTGATGATAATTATTAGGAGGTTTGGCAGATTTGCTTAATTTGAGTTGACCCAATTGGTAAAAAAACTCGAGGCGTTCGGCGTTCGTAGCTCAAGTGGTTAGAGCAGTTACAACTTCCTATAAAGGCCTTCTCTACTATGCGGGTTCAAATACCGCCAAACGCCTCGAGTTTTTTCACAATTGGGTCAACTCAAAACTGTGATATTTAAACTAGCGAGAAAATGCGTGAAATTAAAATTTGAGCGATTTAAGTGCACTCGGTTCTGCTCTGATGTACAAACTGCAGGTATAACAGTATAAGGACCGGGAATTTTTTTACAGATATTCACGTCGCAATCATAAAGTGCTAAAGGTGTGGGCATAACGCCTCGTGCGTAACATGTTGGGTTAAGTAGACTTTTTTAGAAAATCGAAGCACTGTTTTGCCAGAAGGAAATTTGAACAACGCAAAGGCAACGAGAAAAAAGAAATTCATCGATAAGCAGCGCACCGCAAGCAAGAAAACCTTCCCGAAATATTCGTGCCAAAAAGCCGGTGGACATCTTCCTCCCTTTCAAGGGTGATGTGTCCAACGTGAGCAAGCAATGGCTTCAATGCATGACCGAACGAACGTTTACCGCCTCCGAATTGTTGTCCATAAGCACCGGGACGGCTATTCCAGTAAGACTAACTAAACACATTCTGTCTATGCACGCCACATCAACCTGTACTTAGGACTTCACATGTAGTTGCGGGTGCAAGCACATTGGGCGCACGCAAAGGCAGTTTGTTTTGTCCGATTAATAGGCAATGGCCGTATGCAGATGAATAAGAGGTCACGAAATTGTACGACACCATTAAATCCTGCAGACCTTGTGCCTTTGCGTTATTTAAGTAGATTTCCTATGTCATGGAATGTCAACTGAAATTTCGACATGTGATTTCGATTCGAAAATGGTACCTAATTATGGTTGCAATATTTAAAATAATGCAGAATAATCCCAATATATTTCATCCACTTCAGGATGCCGGATCTCTAATGAGCTTCCCTTCAGCCGCCTGCGAAAAAAGACTGTAAAACTGACAACTTAAGTAGTAGGCACTTTTCTCGGGGATTTTTGATGCCCTTATAAATGCAAACATATTCCATACAAAATAAGTATAATTATATTCTTTCTTGCATGGATTTGGTAGCAAATTGCGCCTTCGTTGGTCAAAGGAAGGGTATTCCTAAATTTTACGAAAATGCCTAATAAAGGGATCCTTTTTAAAGCGTGAAATTTCCATTCATAAAGCATTCCATCTGTCCATTTATCACTTCCGCTTACCAGGCATACAACGCGGTCCAAATAAAATGCCCAATTTTATAAGCACTATATGATATCTTTCTAAAAGCCTGTCAAAAGGGGATATCTCTACACAGAATATGTACAGCATGCAGTTTGAAAACCCTAAATGAATGTGTGCAAAAGGTCAGAGTTAAAATTATTTCGGAACCACGA